CCAGAAGGCAGTAGAGCAACGTCAGGTGATGGAGTGCCCCAGGTAGCGAGTGATCGACAATTGTTCCTTCAAGATCCTGTATCCCAATGTGCACCATTGGTTTAGAATCAGGGTTTTCCAACTCCCCTTGGTGGATCCTCTATATCCACCATGAATAACAATGATTATCGGTAGATAATTATCTTCAATCTCTTAGTCATTCAAGATAGTTGATTGTTCGAAACTTGGTTTTATCTAAGATCAGTAATTGTTACTGGTGTTCAATAACAGAATAAATAGTCTTTCTCTATGACAAAACAGAAAGTCACTGGCTCCTAGTTTTTCAACAACTTTTCGAAACTAATGTCAATTCATGAAAACGTCAAATTCTTGGAGTTTTTATACGAATTCATGACTGAGGAAATTCAATCATGTGTGAGATAAGATAAATCTCATTAATGGAGATGGTTAATGTTTGGTTAACATCCCAGATTAAGTGTAGCTAGAAATCGAAACCATTCGTTGCCAGCTCAATAGTCTAAAGCTTAAGGGCTCGCTATGAGGTTAATCTCTGTCGTGGAATCATGGATGTCCAATGCTGAATAGTTTTATATTGTAATGAAACAGTTGCTCAGTGCCTCGCAGTTTCCGCTGATTGTCTAATTGTAGTCAATCTGCCTTATAAAACTATGAAATAAACATCGAATTTAACGATCTCCACAAATCCTTAACAATCCACTTAATAACTAACAATTAGTTATGATAAGTGTGTTAGTACAAAAACTTTCACATAAACTTTAACACAGCTCTTATAACTATGAGAATTTCAGATAATCTTGTATGATCAAATAGAAACCTAATGAAATAGATACGTGTTCAAATTCAAAAAATAGATTCACAGGGACACACATTCAGACGCCCCACAATAGTAGTATTTCTCGACCTTAAGGCGGCATTCGACTCTGTTGATCGTGAGGTTCTATGGCAGTGTTTGTCACTGAAAGGAGTACCAAAGAAGTACATTAACCTTATAAAGGCTCTCTACTCGAACACAACTGGTAGAGTGAGAGCTTATGGCGAACTGTCATCAGAATTGATCACCTCAAGTGGTGTTCGTCAGGGCTGTCCACTCTCCCCATTCTTGTTCAACTTTATGGTCGACGTACTTTTAGAGATAACACTCTCCTCATCTAAATTTCCAGGGGTTGAACTTCTACCGGGACACGTGTTACGTATGCCCAACGACCGACTACCTCGACGTGCTATGTTCAGTGGAATAGGAGTAGGTTGGAAGAAAGCTGGGGGCGGCCAAACCAAAACATGGCACAAGTCCATGAAGTCACTGACAAGTGGACTGAGCCATGTTGGTAGGTGTAGACTACCTGGTTGGGGACCGCGAGATGATAGCAACCGATGGTTAGAGACCCTGAATGACATGGCTCAGAATCGTTTGCAATGGCGCAGGTGCATCCACTCTTTGTGTTCTCTCAAATTCTAATCTTCTGAATTCTTCATGTCCCTTTCTTTTTCCTCTTTCCAAATTTATTTCACTTGATTATACTCTTTAAATAACATCTCCAAACCCTGATCTTCCCGATTACTGCTTATACTCTTATTACCTCTACAACTATGGGATTTGAATCGACAACTGCATCTCTGTGCTAATGTGGTGTGGCAACTCGAACTGATGTACGTACGTACGAAGTTCTACGTTGTTACTGACTGACTGACTGATGTGTGATAAATATCTATAAATATACCACGCAACATCTAAAAGTTAGTCATTTTGGTGGAGTTTTGTTCTCTGAGCTGGATGGTTTGGTCGTGGAGCTCAGAGAACAAAGCTCCACCAAAATCATCCACCTGAGCTACAAATCTTCTCCACCATCTCAAAAGTTGGTCGTTTTCAGTGATTTGCTAGTTTAGGTAAACTTCACTAAAGCTTAAGACATGTAATCGATAAATCATGTTAGATGAACGCTCAATCCGATTTCATGGTCGCTTTTAATAACCTGAGGACTAAATCTACACTTTTTGATAGAGTCTTATTCTCTGAGCTAGATGGTTTGGTCGTGGAGCTTTCGTGATTATAAGAATACGCAAATAAGAAGGAAAACTAGTTAAGTTTTGTACCTGTTCATGTTATATCCTAGTGAAGAACTAATTACGCGTAATTTCTGTGAACTATTAATAGACTAATATCACTGTATAACTATTCAGTTACTAGATTATGTATATACATATCCCTCTTATTATAAGCTCCATTATGATCTACAGACTATTATGATAAGATTTACTTATTTTATTTATTTATTTGAACACATAAACATCTGTACAAAGAGGCACCAAATAGATATGCGCCACATAAATCATTCAATTTGTGTGAGGGCTGTGATACTGTCCGGGTGCCCAGACCTGAGCAGACGGTTTTCTTAGGGGACCGGCCCCCCAAGCCTTTGACCTAAAGGTCTAATCCACAAGGCAGTGGAGTGACGTCAGTTTATGCAGTTCCGGTAACCGGTGACCAACAATAGGTTTATATGTCATTTGTTTCCTTAGGATTCAACTCTCCTAGGTGAACCCTCCGTGTCCACCAACCCGGTTAAGGCGACGAACATTCGCTTTTCGTCCCCTCAATTTCGTAAACAACAATAATGCCGCGAGCAGGCAGTGATTAGGACTTCCCTGGCACAGGCTATATGCGCGTGATCATGTGAGAGCATTTGGGGAAAGAGAGCTGACTCTCCCCACTCTCGGCCGTACATGGGCATATGTTGATTACAGTCTCTCACGTTCACGGCTACCTATTGGCTTGATCTTGTACAAACGCTAGTTCCTATTTTATGGTGTGATACAGTCTGTTTGACTGGTACATAAATCAAGTAAGTATGTTTGACATGAATGATTTGCTTAGTGGAAGATGATATTGGTGTCCTGGACTCAACTGAAAAGGCTAGGAGGAAAAAGGGTCAATATGGATGCTAGGTTGTTCATACTGGTCGACGCGTCATTGGTTTGGCACAATGTTAAGATTGTATAAGTCGTATTTCGATTGGCGAATAAATCATGTGATAATTAGCCAGGCTTAAAGTCACAAAAGTTTACTTGTTAAATAAGTAGAAATTAAGTCACTAATTTGGTCGACTTGAATGTTGGCTAGCAAGTCAAATTATACAGTTCACTAATAATAATAACTGTACTTAGTGTCAAATTACCTCTAGTTAATTATGCAACATACCTAGTTTTTATGAATATACATATTTTGTTACAAGAGATAAGAAAAATCACAATCAAATGAAGAGTTTTTTTTAAAAAGTTGGATAGTAATGAGTACTGAAATTCAAAGTGTTTTTTTGATCTTCTTGGGATTAGTCTGTCAGATGTACTTGCTTCTCAATGATGATCATCCTAATCAGGATACTCAGTACCTTTCATTTTGAATGACCACTGCATTATTCAGTAAGTAACTTAGCCCAGATAAACAGTAACTTACTCAATAGGTATGAATATATTAGTAAGGACTCGACCGTTGTTGCTAACTTGACGTGGTGGTCGGGGTTGCCTATCGTAATTAACTAATCGAGCTATACTGGCTGGAACAATCGTTTTTCAAGGTCTTACCATGTCAGACAGGTCGGTTGAAGAGGGGTAAGTCTAAAATCAGCAAACTCAAGGTCCGAGGGAAATATCATACTGCCAACTGTACAGACGGCAGTAAGATGTTTCCTTCAGACAACCAGCATAACAGCGATGCTGCCTTCTCATAAGGAGGGGTGGGGTTAGAAATCGTCGACCCTAAAATTGCACACGTCTTCTTATCCCATGGATTTCTTTCTCTGGCAATAAGGTCTCGCCAAGTGCGGAGCTAACACGAAAACTACTCACAAAAAGATTATGTGTGACCGGCCTGAAACAGTTAGACTTTTGGTACTGTGGTCACGCTCTCAAGTCACTAAGACCACCCTTAACGCAATTTTCTTTTCAGGTACCTCTAGAAGAACCGTTCCACGGTGTGGGCAACCGGGAGGTGATAACCGCTCTCATACCTCTAACAACACTCAGGATCAGTAAGGACTTGTATTTCCTCGTTATTGATGTTAACATTTTAAATCGATCAGTCTTGAACAAAATTGACTCAGTATTATCATTTAGTTACCAAATATTTTAATGTTGGATAGTGGATGAAAATGGAATTATGAATTCAGATTCCGTCCTATTTCAATAGAAACTGATCATTTTACTTCCTTAACATTAAAAATGGGAACATACAAGCTCTATTTTATATCCCTGTATATACATATATATTATTTTTGAATATTTCAAAGATTGAAATCATGAGTCGATTGAAGCTAGACCACCATAGAAAACCTGGAAGCACTGGACGGCCGTTTCGTCCTAGTATGGGACTCCTCAGCAATGCGCATCCACGATCCCGCACCCCGAGAGATTCGAGACCAAGATCTATCAGTCTCGCGCCAAGCTCTTAAGCAACTAGACCACTAAGCCGGCATCCAATGCTGTTAATGTCTAACTTCAACCAATCCACGAAGCTGCGCTACCGCATACCATTGTTTTCAGTGATTTGATTTGTCACAACCGACCTGGTTGAACTCCACGGGTAACGGCTTCTCACTAGAACTCTAGGAATATCTCTTGAAGTCAGTCACCAGTGAGCAGATGATTATTATCAGAAAGGGTTTGTGGAGATTTTAGAAATTTCACTGGTTGAAATCATGAGTCAATTGAAGCTAGACCACCATGGAAAACCTGGAAGCACTGGATAGTTGAATCATGAATAGTTGATATCATGATTCAGTTGAAGTTAGACCACTATGAAAAATGTGGAAGCACTGGACAACCATTTCGTCCTATTGTGGGACTCTTCAACAATAACATCATAATCTGATTTGTTTCACACCCATAATTTCTTATTAGAAAAGTATCTTTTCAAAATTTCATCAACACAATACACACAGACACACACAAAAGTTACATTTCAACAATAATTATATCATACTTACCTTCACCACAATCAATCCCTTTGAAATCTGGTGTACAAATACATTTTGAATCATTTTCCTTTAAATTATCATTATTACTACTACTATTATTATTATTACTATGGGGTTGACGATCACGACGACATATTCCATTATTTAAACATGGTGGTTGACATATTCCAATTGGATTCATATCCATTGAATAGATTATTTTAGAATGAATTAATTTTACAGGAGATATTGTACTCATTAATGTTGATGATGATGATGATGATAATTCAGCCGAAAGAATTATTGGACATAATAATAAAGAGAAAATCAATAAATGATCAATCATTTGTATTACCATTTATAGGATTTATTAAATTCCCTTAACATCCATCTATATATATCAATGAAGTAAGAAATTGGATGAAATTCCGGTTAGATGAATGTTTGTGTTTGGTTTGTAGAATGATCAGCACTAGATCTAAGTCGTTGTCGTTGTCGTTGTTGCTGTTGTTGTTGTTGTTGGTGGTGGTGGTGGTGATGACGATGATGATGGTGGTGGTGATGGTCGATTTGTTTGTTTTCTTTTGTTGACAACTAGAATGATCTGATCTTATTTTTTTTTAAGATCTAATATACAAGTAATTCACATCAAATGATCATTTATGTTCAATAAATAATCTGAAATAAATAAACAAATTAATTAATGACAATTATAATGTAATAATAATAGTAATACTTATGAAGCTATTTGTTATTCTTTCATATTTATTGACTAATTATGGGTGGAATAAAATAAACAAACTTTCTAAAAGAATAAAAACACTTACAAATCAATACATAAATGGACAGGGAGGGGAGGAGTGTTGGATGGTGGCAACAAGAAAAATGTGTGTGTGTGTGTGTGAGAGAGAGAGAGAGAGAGAGAGCGAAACAGCACACTTTAATAAACAGAAGAAAGAATATGTTAAGGCGGAAGGTTTTTTGTCAATGAGAAAAAAGAATAAACGATATACACACATACATATGCATAGACATACATTAGCACAAAGACACAATTACATAGTTGCACAATTAGTAATTAATTACATGTTACACTGTTACTTTCTTTAAAATTTTCAAATGGATCAACCTTAATTATATGTTGAACGATATAGAATTTAAACACAATTATAACTAATGATTATTTTTTTTCTGAAGTACTCTTATTCTTAGTAAATATTGATTACCATAGTTGATATCATGAGTCAGTTGAAGTTAGACCACTGTGGAAAACGTAGGAGCACTGGACGGCCGTTTCGTCCTATTGTGGGACTCCTCAACAGTGCGTATCCACGATCCCATCTCATGAGACTCGAACCCAGGACATATGAGTGTTGCGCGCGACCACCTACCTTCTACATCATTGAGCCATCTGGCAACCAACAGCGTTAATGTTCAACTTCAACCAATCCATGAAATTGGGTCACTGCTCACTATTGTCTTCAGTTCATTAGCATCTTACATCAGACCCAGTTGAACTTCACTGGTCACTGCTTTTCAATATAACTCCAGGATATACAACTTGAAGCCAGTCACTAGTGAGCATATGTTGATTAATTTCAGAAGGGGTTTTGAGCTATTTTGTATTGTGTTGTAACTAGGAGTTAGAAACATTGGGTGACATGATTTGTAAACAATCGGAATTATATAGACGTACACACTTTTTGTATTTGCTTGAATCCTGCATTTAAAGATGACAAAATAGTTTCCGCTTCTTTCAATTCTGTAAATTTTCTCCTTTTTTTCTCATGTGCCGAGTCTTTTCTCTTATTAGCATGAAATATACTTATTCACTCAGTCAGCAACAATGTAGAACTTCGTATGTAGGTACTTCAGTTCAAGTTGCCATACCACATTAGCACAGAGATACAATTGTCAATTCAAATCCCATAGTGGTAGAGGTAGTAAAAGTATAAACAGTAGTCGGAAAGACTAGGGTTTGAATATGTTATTCAATAAATTTGGAAAGAGAAAAAAGAAAGGGACATGAAGAATTCAGAAGATTAGAATTTGGGAGAACACAAAGAGTGGATACACCTGCGCCATTGCAAACGATTTTGAGCCATGTCATTCAGGGTCTCTAACCATCGGTTGCTATCATCTCGCGGTCCCCAACCAGGTAGTGTACACCTACCAACATGGCTCAGTCCACTTGTCAGTGACTTCATGGACTTGTGCCATGTTTTAGTCTGGCCGCCCCTAGCTTTCTTCCAATCTACTCCTATACAACAAAACATCGCACATCGAGGTAGTCGGTCGTTGGGCATACGTAACACATTTCCCAGCCATCTCAACTGATGAAGTTTCACTACTTCATCAATTGATTCGCCATCCTAGTACCCGTTTCTTAATAACTGAATTACTTACTCGGTAGTCTCAGGATGTACGAGCCATGCTTCGAAGACACCTATAATCATCTCAGTGTTTTCTTGATTTGGCAAAGTAATATGAATCGATCCACTTATGTGCTGAATTCCATGTTGTTTATAACTGACTGAATAACTATAATGTTTTCGATAAATTTTGATTACCATATTCTACTGGACATTGGCATTGAAATTCTTTCATAAAATACCATGTTTCTCATCATAAACTGAAGGTACAAATGACTTATTTATGCTTTATTCACTTAGGTATTAGAATATTGTAAGGTGTTTAAAATTGGTTGATCACTGAGAACTGATCAATATCATTCATATTAATTCTTTCAGTGCTAATCAGACCCTATTGATCAACTGTAAATATTTCAACCATATAGAAGGTTAATCACTGCTCGAATTGCTGGTTAGGAACGTTTCAGACTGTGAAGTTGAAGTACTAGTTCCTTCAAAACTACTTATATGAAATCTCGATTTAAAGTTTTTATTCGATTATCTCAACCACAAAACATTGAAAACTATATTTATGCAAATCTATCGGTAAAGTGAAATATCAAAAGTTTGCAAAGCTAGAGATTCATCAAGTGGTAGCCCCCAAACGCCCTGGTATGGCCGAGAGTGGGGAGGGTCCTCTCTCCCTCTCCAAATGCTCTCACATAGCCACGGGTATATAACCTCTGCCAGGGAATTCCTACTCTCTGCCTTCCTAAACCACGGGTGTTGTTTACGAAATTGAGAGGACGAAAAGCGAATGTCTGGTGCTTTAACCGGGTTGGTGGATATGGAGGATCCCTATAAGAGAGTTCGAAAACCCTGATCGAAAACCAATGGTGTACATTGGTTCCAGAATCGTGAGGGAACAAATGGCGTACGAATCAAGTATTGGTCACCGGCTACCATGAGACTGCATCTCCTTACGATGCTTCACTGCTTTGTGGATCAGACCTTCAGGTCGAAGACCCCAGGTGTGGCTCCCTAAGAAAACCACCTGCTTTGGTTTCGGCACCCGGGCAGTATCACGGCTCTCATACATATCAAATGAGATCTGTGTGGCGCATATGTATTTGATATCCCTTTGTACCAATATCTATGTGTTCAAATAAATAAATAAAATAAACGAGATAATCAAAACTAGAGTGATTGACTAGTTTTTTTGGTATGTTCAAGTTTTATGAATTAGACACCTAAACTAAGAAGCTTTAATTGTGATTTTAAACAATATTATCAGAGTTGACTTCATGTAAACGTAAGCTTTCACAAGCCTCACATCAATTTCGCCCTTATACTCTTGTTTGTAAGTGGTTGTTCATCTAGGTTTCATCGTCTTCATTTGTCTTTATATTCAAAGTGACCGTATTGTTCAGTTGACCTCTGATTGTGTCATTGATTGACCTTTTATTATATGTATTCAGCCTATAAATACGATTTGTAACTATCATACAATGCGTCTACAAGTTGCTATACTTCTTATGACAAAAGTTCTCTGAGGTAAAATGAAAAGTGATATTTTAGGGTCAATCTTTTTTAACCTCCTTCTTCCATTGTAGGAAGGAAGTATTACTGTAAATGCTCAATGTCTAAGGCGAACAACCAACTGACGTCACACTTCAGAATAGTAATTGCATGACTTCATCTTTAATTACTAAATTCACACTAACCACTCTTCAACCAACCTACCTGGTATGATAGGATCTAAAGGAACCAATATTCCAACCAGTATACCAACTCCACCTGTAGCTCTTTTAGAGTTACTGTCAGTCCCAAGCCCGGGTAAAGGAGGAGGGTTGGGCATGGGGTTAGCGTCCCCATCCCATAGAAAACTAACTCGCTAAAAAAACGCTTACCAGAAAAAAGTAAGTAAGTAAGTAAGTAAGTAAGTAAGTAAGTAAGTAAGTAAGTAAGTAAGTAAATGAGTAAGTAAGTAAGTAAATGAGTAAGTAAGTAAGTAAGTAAGTAAGTAAGTAAGTAAGTAAGTAAGTAAGTAAGTAAGTAAGTAAGTAAGTAAGTAAGTAAGTAAGTAAGTAAGTAAGTAAGTAAGTAAGTAAGTAAGTAAGTAAGTAAGTAAGTAAGTAAGTAAGTAAGTAAGTAAGTAAGTAAGTAAGTAAGTAAGTAAGTAAGTAAGTAAGTAAGTAAGTAAGTAAGTAAGTAAGTAAGTAAGTAAGTAAGTAAGTAAGTAAGTAAGTGTTGAAGTAAGTAAGTAAGTAAGTAAGTAAGTAAGTAAGTAAGTAAGTAAGTAAGTAAGTAAGTAAGTAAGTAAGTAAGTAAGTAAGTAAGTAAGTAAGTAAGTAAGTAAGTAAGTAAGTAAGTAAGTAAGTAAGTAAGTAAGTGTTGAAGTAAGTAAGTAAGTAAGTAAGTAAGTAAGTAAGTAAGTAAGTAAGTAAGTAAGTAAGTAAGTATACCATGATCAGGTTATTACAATGAGAAAACCCTACCACTATATAAAGGTATCACCCACAGTCAAGTATTGTCATCAATAAGATTATACTTTAAGTCTATTCATATATATAAAATGATGCAAAGAATAAAACTGTCAGACAACAACAACAACCGAATAAGCTAGTCAGCTACAAACACTCCTTAGGATAGTAATATAAATATCCTAACATTGAATGAATTTCTATCATGCTTTATATGAACTAAATTATACAATCCATTTATACCTGTAGAGTCTCTCTCTTTCTCTCTCTCTAATAATCTAACATTAAAAATCAATATTTTATTATTGATCTAAAAGTGAAACTAAGAGAGATCTTAAAAAATCAATAAATTATTAAGGGTACTTATTATAAAACTTTGTTTAGTCAGTTGTGATTATTGATTATGAAATGTTTTTTTTTTAAAAATTATTATCAACATTACAATTTCGATGCAAGAAATAATAAAAATGTCAAATGTTACTATGTACATCTTGTTGATTGTTTCAATAACAAGTTATAAATTATTTCATTTAAGACATTACACTACTGTCACTACCAGGGAAAGTTATTAACAGAGTGTTGCTGAACCGGAAAACCAAAGTCCTCAAATTCAAAACGGAGAACAGCAATCCAATCACTCTTGTTGGTGAAACTCTAGAAGATGCAGAATCCTTCACATACCTGGGAAGCATCATCGATGAACAAGGAGGATCGGATGCAGACGTAAAGGCGAGGATTGGCAAAGCAAGCACAACATTCCTACAATTGAACAACATATGGAACTCAAATTAACTTTCAACCAATAACAAAGTGAGAATCTTCAATACGAATGTCAAGGCAGTTCTACTGTATGGAGCTGAGACTTGGAGAACTACTACAACCACCATCAAGAATGTACAAGTATTTATAAATAGCTCTCTTCGCAAAATACTCAACATCCATTGACCGGATACCATCAGCAACAGCTTTCTCTGGGAGAGAACAAATCAGCTTCCAGCTGAAGAAGAAATCAGGAAAAGACGATGGAAATGGATAGGACATACATTACGCAAATCATCAAACTACATCACGAGGCAAGCCCTAACTTGGAATCGTGAAGGAAAGCGGAAACGAGGAAGGTTTAAGAACACATTACGTCGGATAATAGAAGCAGATATGAAAAAGATGAATAACAACTGGAAGGAGCTAGAAAGGATTGCTCAGGACAGGGTTAGATGCAGAATGTTGGTGGGTGGCCTATGCTCCTTCACGAGGAGTAACAGGCGTAAGTAATTTATTTGTTTGTTAGTTTTAAATTTCCTATCTTAGATCATTCTGACCAATGAATTTACGAACTATGTCATCTTTATAAACCATGATATGTAATGTTTCCTTCTCTATTGGATGCTACTACAGTTCCATAGTTGAAATCATGGGTCAGTTATAATTAAGCCATTATGGAAAACCTGTAAGCACTGGATGGCCGTTTCTCCCCATTACGGGACTCCTCGGAAGTGAACATCCGTGATTCCGTCTCGCGAGATTCCAATCCAGGATATATCGGTCTCGCACGCGAGCGATTAACCATTAGACCACTGAGCCAGTCGAGATCCAACGGTGTTGATATCTAACTTCAACTAATCCACAAAATTGAGCGACACATTCACAATTGTCATCAGTGATTTACTATCTCACAACAGATCTGGTTGAATTCCACTGATCACTGCTTCTACAGTTGTCTCTTATTCAAAGTATAATAATTAGACTATATAGAGCTTGTCTCCAATATACACAAAAGTCAGTAACAGTTTTTCAATTCCCGTTTTGATTGATAGATAACCCAGTTTTCATTTTCAAGTTACTTATATATGATCGTAATTATTGAAAAGTGCATAGTGTAGAGAGTGAAGATTTCTTTGTGAAGTTAGAAGCTGTCAGAGTTATACAACGAAGCTTTATCGATAACAAACATTTTACAGCTGTTTTTTTTTTCATTGCATTAGCTTGAAAGTGGTATTTTAAAGAATAAGCTTTGTCATTGAAACTGTAACACTGTGCAACATATAATAAGAAAGTATAGATGGAAACTGATCACCATTTTGTTTTATTCAGATCTATGATTGACCCCTAACTATCAACTATGAAATCCTGTTTATGAATTGGTACCTTCTAACTTAACATATTGGGATCATGTTTACAAATAGATGTTAATAGATGTTCTACTTAGAATGAACAACTAAACTAATTAGTCACAAAACTTTATCAAGAGAGATACAGAAATACATTAGAATAATGTTAAATACAACAATATAAAACAAATGTCATCTTCAACTAGTCTAAAGAAAAAATAAGCTGCCTACTATAGAAGAGAACAAACCATCATCTAACTGAAAAGGGAATCAGAAAAAGACGTTGGAGGAGAATAGGACATACATTGCAGAAATCATCATACTACATCCCGAAGCAAGCCCTAACTCGAGATACTGATTAGAAACGGAAAAAAAGGAAGATCAAGGAACATACACTGTGTCGGCAATTATAAAAAAACAGACATTAAAAGAATGAATAGCCACTGGAAAAAAACTGGCAATGATTGCCCATGACAGAATTGGTTAGAGAATGCTAGTGAGCGGTCTATACTCCTCCATAAGGGGTAACAGGCGTAAGTAAGTAAGTATGTAATGTACAAAATATGTGACACATTAGAATGAATAAGATAGAAAATAGAACTACCCTAGAAAACTAATCCCCTATAGTGAAATCATTATCTAAGAAAATTATTTATTACACATTACACTAAATTTATAAAAGTTGTTGATTGTAAATTTACTCGGTATTGTTTGCTTATATCATCCCATCAATGTTTAGAACTAGAATTGACATATGTATATCCTCTGAGGACTACCTTGATATTGTCTGAAGTCATAAGCTTTATAATCAAAGATAGATAATGGCTATCAATGGAAACCAACATGTGTGTTTCATCTTATTTGTGACTTATCAACTGGATATACCATCATCCTAGAATTGATGTCCACTCCAGGATTCGAACCCAATACTGTTCACTGTGCTAATGCGGTATGACAACTTGGACCGATGTATATATATATATATATATATATATATATATATATGCCTGGTTCTACGTTGTAGCTGACTGAGTGTTCGCTTCTAACATCATTACATTATCCACTTAGTTACTAAATCCTGATCATCATCTATTGATTATATTTACAATATCCATAGTTCGATAACCAACCTCCTCCTTACATGGTCATATTAAGAAAAAAAACTATCAACGAATGATCAACTTACATGTTACTATGAGAAACCTGAATTACACATTAAACATTGTTTCAATGAGCTACTTATTTTGTTGTTGAAAGAAAATAGAAATAAAAATAGTATGGAACTTCAAACTATTTCATTGTATTGAATGCAATTTACTGCATACAGTGCGTATGTATGTGTATTGTGCATGTATATATCTATATATGTGTGTACGTTTGTGTAGGTATATTTACAAGCACACAAATAAATAAGTACTCTAATGTGTGATAAATGTGATTCAAATTTATAAAATCAATAATTCAATTGATTATTTCTTTTTGTGTACTTTGAACCCATTGACTCATAATATAAATCAATAAATTTGAGTCAATTCTGATTGTATAATAAGTCAATTGAAGTTAGACCATTGTGGAAAATCTGGAAGTATTGGATGGCCGTTTTTGTTCTATTGTGGAATTCTTCAGTGAGAGTGCATATCCATGATGCTGACTTGCAAGATTCCAGCTCAGGACCTATCAGTCTTGCACGCGAATGCTTAACTACTAAACCAATCTTGTAATTGTATAGTACTTTGTCGATTAATAGATGACGTAATTCTGTATGCAACAAATGAAATATGATATTTAAATCAGATTTTATTGCTGATACAAACACATTACTGTGTTTGGTCAAATGGATTGGATGGCGGCTCACTGGTCCAGTAGGTTAAGCGTTCGCGCGTGAGACTAAAAGCCCTAGGTTTGAGTCCCGCGAGCGGGATCGTGGATGCGCGCTGCTGAGAAGCCCCATAATAGGACGAAACGGCCGTCCAGTTCTTCCAGGTTTTCAATGGTGGTCTAACATCAATCAGTTCATGATCTCAATCAAAAACTTAACAATCTCCACAACCCCTAAATTGATAACTTTCTATTTTTTTAAATATTAGAGCAATTCAAGTTATATTGGAGATATACTTCACAATTATTAACTAACCTTTGTTGAATGATTTCAAAAGAAGTTTTTGGGTTTAACAGTATATTCAAATATATTCAAGCAGTGACCAGTGGAGTTCAACTGGGTCTGTTGAGAGATAGTAACTCACTGAACACAATGGTGGACGGTGGCTCAATTGGGTGGATTAGTTGAAGTTAAACATTAACACAGTTGGATGCCGGCTCAATGGTCTAGAAGTTGATAGATACATACTACTTATATTTGTCGACATCATTAGCACACACCACATTACTGACATATGTGTAAACTAATGTTATCTAACTGACATAGTAAGTTTAAAACAAAAAGTTAACAATTTCATATAAGTTTGAGTAGATAATATGGATACACCAGTATTCTAGTTGTCTAAGAATACAAATTACTCAATCACTTATAAAAATCTAATCAAAATACAATTACACTTACCATTACTATTTATTCATAAGTGATCAAAACAGTGAAACGACCATCCAGTGCTTCCAGGTTTTCCATGATAGTCTAGCTTCAATTGACTCATGATCTTAACTATTAAAATTACCCTGATATCCACAAAGCCCCTTCTGATATTAATCAAAATATGGTTAATAATGACTGGTTTCAAGAGGTATTTTCTGGAGTTCTAGTGAGAAGCAGTGACCAGTGGACTTCAATAGGATCTGTTGTGAGATAGTAACTCACTGATGACAATGGTGGACGGTGGCTCAGTTTGGTGGATTAGTTGAAATTAGACATTAACACCATTAGATGTCAACTCAGTGGCCTACATGTTAACTGTTCACGCGCGAAACCGATAGGTCTTGTGTTCAACTTCTGCGTGTGGGATCGTGGATGACCACTTCTGAGGAGTTCCACAATAGAGCAAGACGGGCATCCAGTACTTCGGGGTTTTACATAGTGGTCTAGCTTCGATGGACTCATGATCTCAACTACTGAAATTACTAAAATCTCCACAAAACCTCTTCTGTTAATAGTAAGGTTTCGGGATATTTCCATGGTGTGCTTCAATACAACTATTTCATCACATTTTATATAATAGATGGATTGAAACTGTCATTAGAAACTATGAATTCTGTTAGCTCGATGTATATATATCACGGAACTAATGTCTGCAGTTAAACTTGTACCAAATAGCTTAGACGATAATGTGTTGGCGTTTGAGTCTAAAGGTAATGGGTTCTAGACTCAATGGGAACAACAATACGGGAATACAGATACATCCAATTGACAAGTCTAAACTATGAAAGAAAGTGTCCAAAATTTCACTATTAGCCATTATACATCTATTCTATGAAATATTATACTGGTTGAACAAACTACTGATTATTGAGAATAAGTAACATTTACTGGGTAACTTCAAAATAGGACGAGATACAACAACGAATTACTTTTAATCTGAACTAGTCTAGGGATATAAGTTGTTAGTGATCACAAACCATTTCAAGGTCAAATAGTAGTTTAGATCAGGGATAACCATTGGAAGAAACCGACTGTGTATCTGATCGAAATTACAGCTGATACATCCTTGATTAGATCGGCATCCTAATTATCCCAATCGAACGTTGTTGATCGTAACATCAGTCCATTAGAGTATAACTAAACTTAATAATGTATACCGATAGAAGATTAAAAAAATCCTTAAACTTATAGAAGTTATTTTACAAACAGTCAACACAAAAATCCATTGGTTTATATTGAAAATTGAACCTGTTGTGACATTTAGTCAGACTAATTATCACGCGACTTAATCAGCAATCGGAATACGACTTATACAATCTTAACATTGTGCCAAACCAATGACGCGTCGACCAGTATGAACAACCTAGCATCCATATTGACCCTTTTCCCTCCTAGCCTTTTCAGTTGAGTTCAGAACACCAATATCATCCTCCACTATGCAAATCATTTATTCCAAACAAACTTGATTTATATACCAACCAAACAGACTGTATCACACCATAGAATAGAAACTACATATTCATACAAGATCAAGCCAAGAGGTAGCTGTGAACGTGAGAGATTATGATCAGCAAACTGAGTATAATTTAAGAACAATGAATCGTATCATAATGGTCTATAGATCATAATGAAGCTTATAATAAGAGGGATATGAATATACATAATCTAGTGACTGAATACTTATACAGTAATGAGTTCTGGGTTCGAATCTCGCGAGGGGTGGTATCATGGATGCGCACTGCTAAGGAGTCCCATACTAGGACGAAACGGCCGTCCAGTGCTTCCAGGTTTTCCAAGGTGGTCTAGCTTTAATTGACTCATGATTTCAACTATTGAAATTTCTAAAAATCTCCACAAAACCCCTTCTGATTATACAATAATATCAGCCCATTAATAGTTCACATACGTTAATCGTATTTCAATCTTCACTAGGATACAACAGAACCGATGACGTATTTCATACTGTAGATAATGAGAATAGAATTGGGGACAATCGAATATGTTTGAATACAAAATTACAGAACATCGTAGTAAAATCTGAGAATCATACAGTAAATACTTCATTTGCCAGATGTCAATCAGTTGTCTCAGACTACATTGTCCCTTCGTTTCCTCACTAATCATGCTCTGTTCTCGTTCTCCTTCCTTCGATATTCCTAAGCGTCTGCTACTAGGCATTTCACTTTCGATTGATGGTACAAATTACCTGTCAACATTAGTAGCATACACCACAATACCATTTCTATTATCGATAATAATCTATTTACTAATGATGTAATACGAATTATTATAATTGTTAATAGAATTCTATAGTGATAGCGAATTATATTTTTATTTTATAATAATCTTTATCTTAAAATTGTTGGTAGAACATGCTGACGAAGACACTCGTGGAGAAAATGCAGTTGTTATCTAGTGGAAGCCGGTCTTTTGGCGAACTTCCATTTTCGAACAACGAGAATCGTACTACGCTCATATGATTTTGAAATGGGGGGAGAAGATTTGTAGCTGGTTGATGGATGATTTTGATGAAATTTTGTTCTCTGAACTGTATGGTTTAATTGTGGAGCTTCTATCATTCTTCTGGACGATATCGTCAGCAGAAACGTTAAGTAGAAGTGAAGAGTTCAAATTTCCCCACATGTAGTTCACAGCTTGTCTTGTACACCTTAATGTTGATTGGTCCTTGTTGACCTTAAACCTATCATTTTCCAATGAGTAAAATTATGCACAAACATAGGAACGAAAATCAAACCAGTGGTAGATACAACCAAAACAAAGATTTAAAGTCAGCAAGAAACAATCAACATCGAGGTGTACAGGACAAGCTGTGAACCACATATGAAGAAATTCGAACACTTCACTTCTACTTAAAGTTTCTGATGATGATGTCGTTCAGAAGAACGATGAAAGCTCCACGACTGAACCGTCCAGCTCAGTGAACAAAACTTCATCAATCAATTTTTTTATTTTTCTCTTCATGACTTGAATATAAGCTACTTTGATAGTGTTTTTCTTTAAAGAAAACAATAAGTGATTTCATTATTTTTCACATATAAGTAATCTGTAAATTCCGTTATATATATAGGAGATTGACTGCTAATCGATCAAATTCACAGGATAGCATCATACTAAAAACTGATAAAAAGGCTGGAATCCAGAACACGCGTTCATCTTATTTAAGACTCGTCAACTGGATGTACCTGCACCGCAGAGTTGATATTCACTCCAGAACTCAAACCTAGTACCTCTCGTTTCAAACACCATCGCGTTACTGAGTCCTGATAGCCACTTGCTTATGCAATGAGGTGAAGTTTAAATTCACTTGGCGTTATTTTCTTGTATCTTCTCATTGTTGTTTAGGGTTGAAATTGATCAGTCTCTTTTTGGCATATGTGCATCCTATGCGGATCGCTTCTATATTGCCTTGAGTAACAAGCATTATAGATGAAGATGGATAGTGGCTGGCAGTAGAATCCTGGACACACATTTCATCCTATTGGAAACTCGTCAGCTGGATCTATCTGCATCTCAGAAAAACGAATTAAGATTTAGAGTGTCCTATTTTAATCCACTATTTTGCGAAGTTTAAATATGATTCTTTTAGTCACAGAATTTCTCAATTTTAAGAGTCAATC